GAACTGGGAGATTTTATGTTACATGAAATAAGCCATTGCATGTTCTCACTCATATGTAGGGGAGTAAAAAGTGGATCTCATGGAGGTAGAGGGTAGAATGATGGTTACCAAAGGCTGGGGAAATGTAGTGTGGAGGGAGGGATGAAAAGAGGTTGGTTAATGGGTATAAAAATATAGTTAAGTAGAAGGAATAAATTTTAGTGTTCCATAGCACACTATTGAATATACAATATTATACTATTGTGTATTTCAAAATACCTAGAAGATTTGGGACATTTCCAACATAAAGAAATGATAAATATATGAAGTGATGGATATCTAAATGACCTAGATTTAATTATACATTGTGTGCATGTACCAAAATATCACATGTACATCACAAATATGCATAAGTATTATGGACTAATAAAAATATTTGAATTCATAGATGTAAAGAGGAAATTGTGGTTACCAGTTGGAGTGGAGGTTGGGGTTGGAAGATGTTGGTCAAAGAATAAAAATTTCAGTCAGGAGCAATAAATTCAAAATATTTATTGTACAACAAGGTGACTATACTTAGTAACAACATATTTTATTCTTGAAAATTCCTAAGAAAAGATTTTAAGTGTTTTCACCACAAAATTGCAAGTAGTGAGGTAAAACATATGCTAATTATCTTGATTTAGCCATTCCACAATATGTATATATTTCAAAACAACATGTTGTTTTGAATGATAAACATACGAATTTTTGTCAATTTAAGAAATAATAAAAATAAAAATAATCTCACCTTGATAAGGACCATAAAAATTCAAATAATTCACTAAATGGTACATTTATATGTCAATTTTATGTGTATACAATATACCCCATTAATAAGTTTTAAAATATTAAGCACATTATGTTGATATATTAGTATATCTTATTTTTTTGTGTGTTCAGTCAAGGAACTAGCTTTTAGCCTATTATTTATTCTATATTTTTTCTATCTTCTCATTTAATCTTTATTCTACTTTAGTATGTTTCCCATAATTTCTTGAAACAGAATCTTAATTCATTTGTTCTCATTCATTTTTATTTTTCATGTAAATATTTACTAGCATAAAGTTATATTTTCTCTGACTTAGTTAAATAACTTAGGTTCTGATATGTAGTAGCTTTATTATATTATTTTTAAAAATTTAATTTAATTTAAAGTGCTAGGATACAAGTGCAGGACATGTAGGTTTGTTACATAGGTAAACATGTGCCGTGGTGGTTTGCTGCACCTACTAACCCATCACCTAGGTATTAAGCCCCGCATGCATTAGCTTTTTATCCTGATGCTCTCCTTCCCACTGCACCCCTGACAGGCACCAGTGTGTGGTGTTCCCCTTCCTGTGTCTATGTGTTCTCATTGTTCAGCTCCCACTTATAAGTGAAAATAATGTGTTTGGTTTTCTGTTTCTGTGTTAATTAGCTAAGGAAATTGGCTTCCAGCTCCACCCATGTCCCTGCAAAGGACATGATCTTGTTCCTTTTTATGGCTGCATAGTATTCCATGGTGTATATGTACCACATTTTCTTTATCCAGTCTATCATTGATGGGCATTTGAGTTGATTCCACATCTTTGCTGTTGTGAACAGTGTTGCAGTGAACATATATGTCCATGTATCTTTATAACAGAACAATTTATATTCCTTTGGGTATATGCTCAGTAATGGGATCGTTGGGTCAAATGGTATTTCTGGTTCTAGGTCTTTAAGGAATCGCCATACTGTCTTCCACAATGGTTGAACTAATTTACATTTCCACCATCAGTGTAAAAGAGTTCCTATTTCTCCACAGCTTCACCAGATCTGTTGTTTCTTTACTTTGTAATAATTGCCATTCTGATTGGCATGAGATGGTATCTCAGTGTGGTTCTGATCTGCATTTCTCTAAAAATCAGTGATGTTGAGCTTTTTATTCATATGTTTGTTGGCTGCATAAATGTCCTCTTTTGAGAAGTGTCTGGTCATGTCCCTTGCCCACTTTTTAATGGGTTAGTGTTTTTTTTTCTTGTAAATTTGCTTATGTTCCTTGTAGAATCTGGATATTAGATCTTTGTCAGATGGATAGATTGCAAACATTTTCTACCATTCTTTAGGTTGTTTCTTCATTCTGATGATAGTTTCTTTTGCTATACAGAAGCTCTTTAGTATAATTAGATCCCATTTGTCTGTTTTTGCTATTGTTGCAATTGCTTTTGGTGTCTCTTCATCATGAAATCTTTGCCCGTGACTATGTCCTGAAGGGTATTGCCTAGATTTTCTCCTAGGGTTTTCATAGATTTGAGTTTCAAATTTAGATCTTCAATCCATCTTGAGTTAATTTTTGTATAAGGTTTAAGAAAGGGGTCCATTTTAAATTTTCTACATATGGCAAGCCAGGTCTCCCAGCACCATTTATTAAATAGGGAATCTTTTTACAAAATTAAATAAGAGCCAGACAGAGATTAATATTAAGTTTGGAAGTGTCTATACAAACTGGCATCTAGGAAATCTCAGGTGTCTTGAATAACAACATGGTCAGTGGAGGGCAGTGGACCACATCACCTGGCACAGATAGTGAATCAGGCAGGGTGATAGGCAGGTAGGGCTTTAGTGTGGGAGTGGGAGGGTTGTCCTACCCAGCTTTTACAGCCCTGCTGCCGAGAGATGACTTACAAGTTCATCAGCCGCCACCACCCCACTACCACACCCCTCCCCCCAGCCCTTTAGTCCCACATTCTGCCTTAGTGCTTTCTCCTCCTTCACTTCACTCTACCACTGACAGTTCTTGTGAGTCCAGGATCAAGACACACATGCACACACATTCTTTCTTTGCCAGGCATATACATGTTTGGCCACATTTGGAAAGTCTTCCCCTCTACCTCCACTCAATCCCCACTTCCCCCTTGACCCTCTGCCATTTGGAAACCACTCTGCTAACCCTTGAAGCCCAATTCTCTGAGTAAACTTCTAGTACTAGCTAGAGCCCCTCCTACCAGAATACTGTTCACCATGTCAGGATATAAATGTTGGTGGAAAGACTGATATCTGAGCCAGAGTCTGATCAAACTTTGGCCTGAGCCACGGCATGGATCACAGTTCTAAAGGTCATCTACATCTATAGGTCTGACTCCTCCGGAGGTCAAATTCAAAAGACTTTCTCTACACCTAAAGAGCAGGTTTTTATACCTGGACCATAGGGGAGGTCACATAACCATGGGAACCACCTGACCAATAAGGTTCAGGGGCACTCAATCTTTACATGACTGAGAGGCCTCAACCTCATGTGACCATGGGTTGGTACATGACCACAGAATCCACGTGATCAGCAGCAATAGGTCACCTATGTGACTTCCAGGACCACATGATGGTGAAGGTCATAAAAGAGCAGGATCCACAGGACCCACAGCATTAGGATCCCACAGTCCCTACATGACTGAGAGGGCTCAGCCTGTCACATGACTGTGGTAGGGGAACATGACCATAAGAAGGTACATAACCATAGTATTCATATGACCAACAGTGGTGTGGCACCAATGTGATTTCAAAGGGAAATTGAGGGCCTTCCACTTGAAGGCTGGCGGCTGTATTCAACCATTTTGTATTGCTATAAAGGAATATCTGAGGTTGGGTAATACATAAATAAAAGAGGTTTATTTGGCTCACATTTCTAAAGACTGTAAAAGAAGTATGATGCCACAATTTGCTTCTGGTCATGACCTCAAGAAGCTTTCTCCTGTGGCAGAAGGCAAAGGGGGAGCAGGCATATCACAAGGCAAGAGAGAGCGCAAGAGAGGGAGGGGTGCCAGGCTCTTTTTAGACCATCAGCCCACACATGAAATAATAGAGTGAGAACTTCCTCATTACCATGAGGACAGCACCAAGACATTCATGAAGGATTTGCCCCCATGACCCAAGCACCTACTACTAAGCTCCACCTCCAACTTGGCGGGGGGGTCACATTTTAACATGAGATTTGGAGGGAACAAACATCCAAAGCATATCAGTGGCCTCATGATTCTCATGGTTTAGGATCACACTGTGCTCTTGTTACCTGTAGGACTAAGCCTTTCACATGACAGTGGAGTGGGGTCCCAAGGGCTGCAATATTAACCTGATTCACAGTATTAGGAATCAACAGTGTTCATGTGCCTGAAAGGGTCCTTGTGATCTGCATGTCTCATGGACCGTTTATGAGACTTGGAGATTTGAGATTGCCCACATTATTGGGCTCCCTATTGATGGTGGTGGTTCCAGGTGACCTTCCATAGCACACAAGCACTTTAGGTGCCCCTACTCCTCTTTAATGTGCCAAATTTATGTCTGCTAATGCTTATATCTGTATAATACTCTTTCACAAGTTTCCTTATGCAGGTACTTAAAAATTTATGCAGAAATGAATACATTTATATACTTATCTACAAAATATAAGATCTCATTCTACACTTAGTTTTATAAGTTTTATAACTTGCTTGTCTCACTAAAACCATACCTCGAAGGTCATTGATATTAAATTTCATGTGTTATTACAAAAAAGATACTTTGAGAGCAGGTATTCTCTTTTGTTTTAGAGTAATGCTGTTTATTTCATTTCTTATGTATTTATAACTGTAATAAATATCAAATGCTCATGCAATTATATAAAAAATTGTCAGGAACATTCAAGCATTCTCTACCCCACCCACAGGAAAGAGACACACATTTAGAATGGCCAGGCTCTGAGATAACTGACCAGACACTCTAGGCCTGAGGCCATCCAGGTTTAGGACCAATTGGTGAAGGACACATTTGCTTCAATGGGATGCTGCAGGTTACCTTTACCTGAAATTGCACAAATAAGGTCACTTGAGTAAAAGTACTTGACTAAAAGAGAGAAATGCAAATAATGCAAATGGTACAGTGCTTGGAACATAGTAAATCCTCAATGTAGGTACCAGACTCCCATTGACTTGGCAGAAGAATGTCCCTGGAGCTCAAGAATACAAGATAGTAGTGAGGGAGCCAATTCTAAGTATACAAGGATATATTTTCCCCTAATTCAAAACCAAAGCAATAATTATCATTATTTTATACACCATGACATTCCAGGATTGAAAACCTAGTAGTATTACACGTTTGTAGTATTGTGCCTTCATGGATACACATTCAACAGCTCCTCCCACTTTGAATTACCCACTGGTGCAGATGAAATCCTGGTCAGAGTCCTATAAGTGGTAATGGTATCAGGGTCAAGGGCATGTGACTTCTCTCTCCTCTTTATCTGCACTCTTTCTTCATTTGAGACGCCACAGGAAACTATTTTCCAATATCAGTATAGAAGCTCAAATAAGGGGGCAAACATGACACAGAATTAAAGAAATGGTTTGATGATCTTTTCCCTCTTCCCACATTCCTTGGCAAAGCCATCCTGTATCACAGAAATAGCCCCAAAGCTTCGTTTATAAACTACATGTAAGTACATGCTACTTCTTCCTGCTCCGTTACCAGCTGCTCTCTGTGGTAGTTACGCTGTTTGATTTAGATGACGGTCATCACTTCTCTGGGAAGGAGAACAAAAGTGGGCCAGGATGAACATTTGTTGAAGTCCTACTAGGTGCCATCTTCTCTGTATAGAATTTCTCCTTTACCCCACAGGACAGTTCTGTAAGGAAGGCATCATGAGCTCTCAGCGGTTCCCTTTTCCAGATGACCATGGGCAAGGTGACAGAGGTTAAGAAAGTTTTCCAGTGTCACACATCAAGTAAAAGGCAGGAATGAGGTTCCAGCTTTTGTCCTCATTAAAATGTTCCATGCATTTTCAACAGAGGATATATTGCCCCCAGTGGGCTGAGAATTGGTTTTTAAGGGTAGGGAGATGGTAGACATTAAAATGGTTTGTGGCACTACACAGGACCAAAATACATACAGTTAACGTTACATCTGTGGTATTAAAATTTCACATTTCAGGCAAGAAGGGATTAATAAGGAGGAAAAACATGTCTAATAAGCCTCCTTTGGATAATGAAAGAAGGTTGGGAAACATTTAATGTGCCCATTGATCTTTTCTGTAGATAATGGGCCACCAAGGCTTAGAGGCTGGTATTTCACACCACCCCACGGATGCCTACTCAATAACCCCTTTAGATGATGATGCTGATGATGATAATGGGCATTTAATTATAAGTTACTTGAGTGGTATTTTCATTAATCTTAACCTTTACTCAAGTAATTTATAATTAAATACCCATTGTATAGAAAGTTAGGAGAAGTTAAATAAATCAGGGAAACTTTGTTGTTAATGTCTGAAATTTTGCTAAAGCTTCCGCTACAGATCTTCACAACTCTGTGCTCAGAATATCCCCCTGACCCCCTGAGCAGAGACTGCAGACTGGCATGGAGAGCTACAGGGAGTCTAGGCAGAGCCACTGCTCAGGCACACACGGAGTTCCAGGGCCCTTGGACTACTGGGCACCCCAGCACCAGTGGCTGTAGCTCTGGCAACAAGAAAGACCAGGCTCCCTGGAATGCCTCCAGTATAGGGGCTAAATCCATGGGGCTGAGGAGCAGATGGACTGCAGGCCTCACCTCCTTTGCACCTTGGTGGATAATGCCCAGTGGGCTGGTCCCTAGCATGGTCATTCCAGCCTCACTTGAGCTCTAGGGCCAATAGCAGCCCTGTACTTCCCTGGAATGGAGCTCTCAGTGGTAGCAGATGGGTCCACCAATCTTGGCAGGGTGATTAAGGACTAATGCAGGTCCCCAGCACAGCACAGCTGTCTTACAGAAAAGTGGCCAGATTTTTTTTCACATAGATCTCTGTCCTCACAACCTCTCACTGGGCAGGGCCTCTAGACTTGGGACTCCAGCCACCCCACCCATGTTTGGGCTCTTGGACCAGTAGCAGCTCTGTACTTCCCTGGGACAGAGCTCTCAATCGTAGCAGGCAGGTCTGCCATTTTTGCAGCTCTGCAGCTCCTGCTCCTATTTTCTTCAGGCTCAGGAGGGAGCCAAAAGACTTAGGACTAATGCAATCCTCCAGCACAGTGCAGCTGCTTTTTGGATAAGAAGGCAGACTCTCTTCCGTATGGGCCCTGGCCCTGTTACTCCTCAGTGGGCAGGGTCTCTCAACCTGGGGTCCCCAGAACAACCACCTTGTCCCCACCCAAACGTTTAAGTCAGTGGTGGCGCTGTCATTCTCTAGGGAGGAAATCCCAGAGACAACCCACAGCTCCTCTCTCATTGCAGCTGCAGTGGTACTGCCCTTAATGCCTTTGGGCTGGGGAAGGAACAAAGGTCCAGGTTGCATTACTGGCACCTCCAGCACACCACAGCCACCATATGGAGTCTGTCTTCCCTGTGAGGCCTCACTCCCTACTCTTCAACAGGCAAGGCCCCTGGCTTGGGACTACAGGGAAGCTATACCACCCCCAACTGAGCATTCCCACTGGCAGTGGCTCTGTGTTTCCCTGGGGTGGAGTTCCCAGTGGCAACAGACAGCCCCTTTACCACTGCCACTGCAGTGGTTTTGACCTTGTCTTTGGACTGGGGAAGGAACAAAGAGCCTGAGGGCATTACTCATGTCTCCAGCATGCCACAGTCACCATGTGGAGAGGAACTCAGTCTCCCTTTCGTTTGAGTCCCTGACCCCTTACTCTTCACCAAGAAGGGCCCCCAGCTCAGGCCCATGGCACAGCCACCCCACCCTCTGGCTGAACACTTTCATTAGCAGACGCTCTGCATTTCTGTGAGGTGGGGCTCCCAGAGACAACTGAAAGCCCCTCTGACACTGCCACTGCAAAGGTACTGCCCTCGATGTCCTTGGACTGTGGAAGAAACAGAGACCCCTGAGTGCCTTACTCACACCTCCAGCAAGCTGCAGTTGCTGTAAGAAGAGGCCAGTCTGTTTTCCCCATAGGCCCCCAGGCTTGAGCCCACAGTGCAACCACCCCACACCAGGCCAATCACTCTGATTAAGAGCGGTTCTGCATGTGTCTGAGATAGAGCCCCAAGAGACAAGTTAAAGGCCCTCTGCCATTGCCACTGTCAAGGTTCCTGTTTGCCCCCACGCTGTAGAGGGAACATAAAGGCTGAGCTTACCCCAGGGCTGCAGTATGAAGTCCAGGAGTGCCAAACCCAGATCTGCAGCCAGCCCTTGAGTGGGAAAGGAGCCTACACTCTCAGAGCACTGAAAGAGAGAGAGCACAGCTGCAAATGTGGGCAAATACAGAGTAGTCATGTGACTGAACAAGAGTCTACCTATCAGCCAGCATGCTTAAGCACCATCTACTGGATCACAGCCAAAACTTCAACACAAAAAATACTTTAATATATCCCCTGTGAAACCAAGGACAATAATTCAGCTACCAATAAATACCCTGCCCAAAGCATTGGCCCTCTGAAAACATTGAGAAATGAAGGTAACTGACTACACTCAAATTACACCACAGCTAAGGGTACACAAGCCCACACACATGAGAAGCAATCAGTGCAAGAACTCTGGCAACTCAAAAGCTAGAGGGTCTACTTACCTCCAAATCACTGCACTAGTTCTCCAGCAATGTTTCCTAAACAGGCTGAAAAGCCTGAAATGACAAAAACAGAATTCAGAATATGGATAGGAATGATCATCAACATTCAGGAGAAAGTCAAAACCCAATCCAAAGAATATAAGGAATACAATAGAACTATATAGAAGATAAGAGATGAAATGCTGTTGTAACAAGGAACCAGGCTGGGCACGGTGGCTCACACCTGTAATCTCAGCACTTTGGGAGGCCGAGGTGGGCATATCACTTGAGGTCAGGAGTTCGAGACCAGACTAGCCAACATGGAGAAACCCTGTCTCTACTAAAAGTACAAAAATTAGCCAGGCGTGGTGGCATGTTCCTGTAACCCCAGCTCCTTGGGAGGCTGACACAGGAGAATCACTTGAACCCGGGAGGCGAAGCTTCCAGTGAGCCGATATTTCACCACTGCACTACAGCCTGGGTGACACAGCAAGACCCTGTCTCAAAAACAAACAAAACAAAACAAAACAAACACAATTGATATGATAGAGCTGAAAAACTCACTTCAAGAATTTCATTTAAAAAATCACAAGTATTAACAGCAGAACCCACCAAGCTGGGGAAAGAACCTCAGAGCTCAAAGACCAGTTCTCAAAAATAAGACAAAAACAAAAATACAATAAAGAAGAATGAATAAAACCTCTGAGAAATACGGGATTATATAAACAGACAAAACCCATGACTCATTGGCGTCCCTGAAAGAGTGGGAGAGAAAGAAAGCAACTTGGACAACATATTTGACAATATCAGACACAAAAATTTCTCCAAGCTCACTAGAGAGCCCAACATTCAAATTCAGGAAATGCAAAGAACCCTGCAACATACTATACATGACAATTATCTCCAAGGCACATAGTCAGATTCTTCAAGGTCAAAATGAAAGAAAAAATATTAAAGGCAGCTATTGAAAAGGGGCAGGACACCTACAAAGGGAAATCCATCAGGCTAACAGTGAAGTTTCAGCAGAAACCCTACAAACCAGAAGAGATTAGGGGCCTATATTCAACATTCTTAAGAAATTCCAACCAGGAATTTCATATTCCATCAAAGTAAGCTTCATAAGCAGAGAAATAAATCATTTTCAGACAAACAAATGCTAAGGGAATTCATTAGCACCCGACCTACCTTACAAAAGGTCCTTAAGGAAGTGCTAAATATGGAAAGGAAAGACCGTTCGTTACCAGCCACCACAAAAACAGACTTAAGTATACAGACCATTGACACTATAAAGCTACCACAAAATCAAGTCTGCAATAATAACCAGCTAACAACATAATGACAGGATCAAACTTGCACATATTAATATTCCCCTTAAATGTAACCAGGTTAAATGCCCCAATCAAAAGGCATAGAGTGCCAAACTGGATAAAGCAGCTAGGCCCAACTATATGCTGTCTTCAGGAGACCTCATTTCACATCCAATGACACCCAAAGGCTCAAAATAAAGGGATGGAGAAAAATCTACAAAGCAAATGGAAAACAGAAAAAAGCAGGGGTTCTTATTCTAATTTCAGACAAAACAGACTTTAAAGCAACAATGATCATAAAAGACAAAGAGGGGCATTACACAATGGTAAAGGGCTCAGCAAGAAGACCTAACTAGTTTAAATATATATGCACCAACATAGGAATACCCAGATTAATAAAGCAAGTTCTTAGAGACCTATGAAGAGATTTAGATAACCACACAATAAAAGCTGGAGACTTTAACATCTCATTGATAGTATTAGACCATTGAGGCAGAAAACTAACAGATATTCAGCACCTGAACTCAACAGCTGACCAGATGGACCTAACAGACATCTACAGAACTCTCCACCCAAAAATAAGAATATATATTCTTCTCATATGCACATGGCATATACTCAAAAATCAACAACATAATCAGCCATAAAAGAATCCTTATCATCTGGGCATGGTGGCTCATGCCTGTAATCCCAGCACTTTGAGAGGCCAAGGTAGGTGGATTACCTAAGGTCAGGAGTTCAAGACCAGCCTGGCCAACATGGTGAAATCCCCTCTCTACTAAAAATACAAAAATTAACTGGGCATGATGGCAGATGCCTGTAATCCCAGCTACTCAGGAGGCTGAGGCAGGATAATCACTTGAGCCCAGGAGGTGGAGGTTGCAGTGAGCTGAGATTGCACCATTACACTCCAGCCTAGGTGACAGAGTGAGACTCCATCTCAAAAAACAAACAAACAAACAAACAAAAACCTTATCAAATTCAAACCAAAATCATACCACTCACACTCTCAGACCTCTCAGACTATTACAGTAGAATAAAAATAGAAAACAGTATTCAGAAAGTTGCTCAAAACTATAAAATTACATGGAAATTATACAAAGTGTTCTTTTTTTTTTTTTTTGAGACAGAGTCTCACTCTGTCGCCCAGGCTGGAGTGCAGTGGTGTGATCTCGGCTCACTGCAACCTCCGCCTTCTGGGTTCAAGTGATTTTTCTGCTGCAGCCTCCTGAGTAGTTGGGACTACAAGTGTGTGCCACCACGCCCAGCTAATTTTTTTGTATTTTTAGTAGAGACAGGGTTTCACCATATTGGCCAGGCTGGTCTCGAACTCCCGACACAAAGTGTTCTTTAATAACTCTTGGATAAACAATGAAATTAAGGCAGAAATCAAGAAATTATTTGAAACTAATGAGAACAAAGATACAATATATCAGATATCAGAATCTTTGGGACACAGCTAAACCAGTTTTAAGGGTGAAGTGCTAAATGTCCACATCAAAAAGTTAGAATGACTTCAAATTAACAACCAAACATTACACCTAGAGTAACTATAGGAACAAAAGCAAACCAACCCCAGAGCTAGCAAAAGACACAGAATAACCAAATCAGAGCTGAACTGAATAAAATTTATTTGCACAAAAACATACAAAAGGTCAATTAGTCCAGGTTGGCTCTTCAAAACAATAAATAAGATTGATAGACTGCTAGCTACATTAATAAAGAGATAAGATCAAAATAAACACAATCAGAAATGACAAAAGGGACATTACTACTGACTCCACAGGAACACACACACACACACACACACACACACACACATACACACAAACCCCTCACAGACTACTTTGAACACCTATATGCATAAAAACTAGAAAACCTCGAATAAATGAATAAATTCCTGGAAACATACAACTTCCCAAGATTGAACCAGGAAGAAATTGAATCCCTGAACAGACAAATAATGAGCTCTGAAATTGAATGAGCAATAAAAACCCTACAAACAAGAAAAAGCCCAAGGCCAGATTGATTCACTGTCAAATTCTACCAGATGTATAAAGAAGAACTGAGACCATTCCTACTGAAACTATTCCCCAAAATTGAGGAGGAGATACTTTTCCCTAACTCATTCTATGAAACCAGCATCATCCTGATCAAAAACCTAGCAGAGACAACAACAACAAACACTTCAGGCCAATTTCTTTGATGAACATAGATGCAAAAATCCTCAACAAAATACTAGCAAACTGAATCCAGCAGAACATCAAAAAGCTAATCAATCATGATCCAGTAGGCTTTATGTCTAGGATGCAAGGTTGGTTGAACATATGTAAATCAACAAATGTGATCTATCACATAAACAGAACTAAAAACAGGACAAGGTCATCTCAATATATGCAGAAAGGCTTTCAATAAAATTCAACATCCCTTCATGACAAAACCCTCAATGAACTAGTGGTTGAAGGAACATACCTCAAAATAACAGCCATATATGACAACTCCACAACCAATATCATATTGAACAGCCACAAGGTGGAAGCATTATCCTTGAGGACTGGATGCCCACTCTTGCCACTCCTATTCAACATAATTCTGGAAGTCCTAGCCAGAGCAATCAGGCAAGAGAAAGAAATAAAAGGTATCTAAACAGGAAGAGGGGAAGTCAAACTATCTGTTTGCAGATGATATTACTCTGTACCTAGAAAACCCTATAATCTGCCCTAAAGTTCCATGAACTTCAACTTTAGCAAACAAAATCAATATACACAATCATTAGCATTTCTATACACCAACAATGTCCAAACTGAGAGCCAAGTCAAGTATGCAATCCCACTTACAAAAACAACAAAAACAAAAACCTAGGAATACAGTTAACCAGGGAGGTGAAAGATCTCTACAAAGAGAATTACAAAACACTGCTCAAAGAAATCAGAGATGACCCAAACAAATGGAAAAACATTCCATGCTCATGGATAGGAAGAACTGCTATTGTTAAAATGGCCATACTACCCAAAGCAATTTATTCAATGCTATTCCAATCAATCAATGACATTCTTCACAGTTTTAGAAAAAACTATTTTAAAATTCATATGGAACCAAAATAGAGCTCAAATAGCCAAGGCAATCCTGAGGAAAAGTAACAAAGCCAGAGACATGTTACCTGGCTTCAAACTATGCTACATAGCATACCTGACTTTGAGTGGCCACAGTAACCAAAACAGCATCGTACTGGTACAAAATCAGACACAGAGACCAATATAACATAATAAAGAGCCCAGAAATAAAGCCACACACCTACTACCATCTGATCTTTAACAAAGTCATCAGAAATAAGCAATGGGGAAATAATCCCCTATTCAATAAATGGTGCTGGTATAACTGGCTAGCCATATGCAGAAGATTGAAACTGGACCCCTTCCTTACATCATATACTAAACTCAAGATGGATTAAAGACTTAAATGTAAAATCTAAAACTATAAAAAGTTTTGAAAGCCGGGTGCGGTGGCTCACGCCTGTAATCCCAGCAGGCGGATCACAAGGTCAGGAGACTGAGGCCATCTTGGCTAACATGGTGAAGCCTCATCTCTACTAAAAACATTAGCCAGGCGTGGTGGCGGGCACCTTTAGTCCTAGTTACTCGGGAGGCTGAGGCAAGAGAATGGCATGAACCCGGGAGGTGGAGGTTGCAGTGAGCCGAGATCGCGCCACTGCACTCCAGCCTGGGAGACAGAGAGAGACTCCATCTCAAAAAAAAAAAAAAAAAAAAA